GATCTGCCGACACAACTCTTGTCTCTTCGCGCAAACATTTACTCTGTCGGTCTCTTCTTCCAGGCTTTTCATCTCCTTCGCTTCCTCCGCTCTTTCCATCTTTCGTCTGTCCTGCGCCTTGTTTTCCTTCCCGGCTCGGCTTGTGTTGCCTCCGCCGGTCATCATTTACTGGCTTTGCTGTCACTGGTGTTATTGTGACTACTATTATCTTTATTCTTGTCGTTTTTATTATCATTTGTGTTTTTAGCTTCTCTATGCACTTCATTTGTAAGTGTGACTGTTTTTTTTCTTTTCTCTGTCTTTGTTTATCTTCACGTCCTTCGTTTGCCTCAGTGTGTTTGTTCGTTTGTCCTTCTATATTAAATTTGATATGTCCCTTTCTATATGTTTTTATGCTTCGTCTGTTTATCTTATACCTCTTCTTCATCTTATCCTTCCTTCTTCCGATTGTTCCATCATTCCTAATTACCATCAACTTCCAAAAATTCTTCCCTCTCTTCCCTAGTTTTAATCCATCATCATTCTTCTTCTCTTCCTCCTTCTCTTTCCCCTGCTCCTCCTTCTCTCACTCTTTCTCCTCCCCTTTCTTCCCCTGCTCTCCTGCTCCTTCTCTCTCCCTTCTTCCCTCCTTCTCTCCTTCCTTCCTTCCCAATCTCCACCTCCTTCGTCAGCCATCTTGCATGTTTACCTATCTGTAGACGTGGCCTTTGTGCGGTGTCCTTCCGCCTGAGCAATCCATCACACTTTCCTCTGCTCTGACATCTGCTCAACAGCGACTCGAGAATTTTATGCGCATTAGAGACGGGTCTTGTGCTCGCTGGGGGACGGGGGGGGGGGGGGGGGGGAGGAAAAAAGGGAAAGAGATGGAGGGGGAGAAGTACCGGTACTGGGGAGGGAAAGGAGGTAGGGAGGGGAAGGGAAATGGGAAAGGGAGAGAGAGAGGATGGGGAGAGAGGCAAAGAGGGAGAGGGAGACAAGAGAGAGGGAGGGAGAGGAGAAGGACGGAGGAGAAAAGAGAGAGAGAGAGAGAGAGAGAGGAGAGAGAGAGAGAAGAGAGAGAGAGAGAGAGAGAGAGAGAGGGAGGGAGGGAGGGAGGGAAGGAGGGAGAGAGAGGAGAGAGAGAGAGAGAGAGAGAGAGAGAGAGAGAGAGAGAGAGAGAGAGAGAGAGAGAGAGAGATGAGAGAGAGAGAGAGAGAGAGAAAGAGAGAGAGAAAGAGAGAGAGAGAGAGAGAAGAGAGAGAGAGAGAGAGAGAGAGAGAGAGAGAGAGAGAGAGAGAGAGAGAGAGAGAGAGAGAGAGAGAGAGAGAGAGAGAGAGAGAGAGAAGAGAGAGAGAGAGAGAGAGAGAGAGAGAGAGAGAGAGAGAGAGAGGGAAAGAGGATGATCCTCCATAGCCATTCTCCCCCTCCCCTCCCCCTCTCCCCTTCCCCCACCCGCCTCGCCTATGATCTCCCTATTGAGAAACGGTTAAAGGAGACAGGAGGCAGGAGGAGGAGGAGAGGAAGAGCAGAAAGAGAGGAGGGGAGGGGCGGGATAAAAGAGAGTAGGGGAGGAGGGGGTGTAGGCGGGGGAGGGAGGGAGGGGAGGGACGGTTTCAAGAGAAGCGATCTGGCATCATCTTATTTACCGCTACAATGAAGATCGAGGGAGGTTGACTGGCCGTGTCCCCGCCGCCGCCGCCGCCGCCACGCCAAGGGACAACCTCGTTTCTCAGCACTCCAGTCGAGGGCGGTTATCTGTCTATCTGTCACCATCTATCTATCTTTCGAATTGCCGCTGTTATTTTTGCTCTCATTAGCATATTATAACTCATGTTATCATCATTATCAATATTGTTATTATCATCATTGTCTCGATTATCCTTCAGAGAATAAAACGCACAAACAGAAACGACAAAGAAAGACAGAGCAAAGCAAAAAAACAACGCTAAAAGAGGGGAGAAGAGGAGAAGAGACACCGCGGAGAGAAGCGGAGAAGGGCAAAAGGGAAAAGGGATAATATATGATATTAAGGAAGATCAGTGTCCTTTGAAGACGCTGACTCGCCCTCCTTAGATTTCATCCTGTTAGTCAGTGTCTTACGCACGGGAGGAAAGCAGGAAGAGCGGATAATGTGATGGAATTTGCAGGAAGGGAAAAAGGGAGTGAGAGGAGGGAAGGGAGTTGAGGGAGGGAAAGGGAGTGAGGGAGGGAAAAGGGAGTGAGGGAGGAAAGGGAGTGAGTGAGGAGAAAGGAGTGAGGGAGGGAAAGGGAGTGAGGGAGGGAAAGGGAGTGAGGGAGGGAAAGGGAGTGAGGGAGGGAAAGGAGGAGGGAGGCGAGGAGTGAGAGAGAGGGAGGGAAAGGGAAGGGAGGGAAGGGTGAAGAGATGCGAAAAGAGAGTGAGGAGGGAAAAGCAGTTGAGGGAGGGAGAGATAGAGAAGAAAAGGGAAAGAGAAAGGTGGGAAGAAGAAGGAGAGGGGAAAGAGAAAGGGAGGTATAGGGAGAGGGCGAAGGAGAGAGAGAGGCGAAAGAAAAAAGAACATTGACGACAACGTTCTTCTTGATAACACATATCAATGTATAATTTACTGAATTCATTTTCAGTAACATGAAACATTTCTTTTATTTCATATTCTTTTTAATCTTCAATTTTCTTATCTTTTCGATTATTTCCCGTTTATTCTCTTTGCGTTCATTTCTTCCTCCTTCTCTTCTTCTCGCTCTCTTCTCCGTCTTTTTCTGCTTCTTCTTTTCCTCCATCTTCTTTCCTTCATTCCTCTTTATTCTTCTTTTCTTCTTTTCCCCCGAATTCTTTTTCTTCTCTTCTTTATGTTTCCTCTTCTTCTGCATCTCCCCCAGCTCCCCTTTTCCTCGCCCCCCCCCCCATACGAGCAGACAAGCCCCCCCCCCCCCCCCCCCCCCATGGGCTTGGCGGAGAAAGAACATTCCAGAAGAGAAGATTATCCAGGATTATCCAGACTGGCTTCTTGAACACCAGGGGGAAGGGAGGTGGGGATGGGGGGGGGAGGAGGGAGTGTGTTGTAGGGAAGAGGGGAAGGGAGGAGGAGAGAGGGGAGATGGTGGGAGGAGGGAGAGGAAGGGAGAGGGAGGTGAAAGGAAGAGAGGGCGGAGTGGGAGAGGGAGGGAGGGGGAGGGAGTTACAGGTATTGGGAGGAAGATATCAGTAAGAAAGTAGGGAAAAAGGGAGCGAAGAGAAGAAAGAAAGGGAATGAGAAAGGGAAGAAGGAAAAAGAAGAAAGAGGGAGACAGAGATAGAAACTCCGAAAGAGAAAGAGAGAGAAAAGGAAGGAAGATGAAGTGGAAAACTGAGTGAGGAGAGGGAGGAGAGGATATGAGAAAGTAGGGAAAGGAAGAAGAAAGTGAAAGAAAAGATTAAAAGGAACTGGAAAAAAAGAAAAGAAAGTGTGGTGTAAGAGATACTGATAGATAGATAGGTAGACAAAGAGATAGATAGATAAAACGAGATAGATAAATAGATAATTGGAAACCGGAGATAGAAAGAGAGAGAAAAAGAGAGAAAGAGCGAGAGAGAGAGACGCGTAATTTTGAAGTAAAATAAAACTGATTTGAAAGAAAAGAGGAAATCTAAACTTCCAAGAAACCTCAAGAGACAGCAACACAGACAGAAAGGCAATTCGCAGCAACAATATGAGAAAAATTAGGCCCCAATCAACCAGCAAATCGGCAGTGAAGAGAACCAATCCGTCTTCCTCCCACTTAGCGAGCCCCCCCCTCCCCCCCCCGCCGCCCCCCTCCCCCGCACCCTCAGAGGGCCCCATACGATCAGTCCCCCCCCTTGGAGGACGCGAATACGAGCCCCTTTTCATCAAAGGACCACTTCCTTCCTCCTCCGCGGACCAGCCACCGGCCGCCCTTCCCTCAAAGGACCCCCTCGAACCAGCCCCCTCCGTCAGGAGACCACCCCCTTCTCCCTCCCCTCAAATGACCAGTTCCTCCCTAAGGATCGGAGCGCCCCCCCCCCCCCATCAAGGACCAAGCCCCTGAGAGCTCGTTGATTCGAGACGTCCTTGTGGAGTGAGAGTCAAGAGCGCCGAGGGTCCCCCTAATGCGCACTTTCTGCACCGCTGCGCACTCCAGATAAGGGCGCAGGCAGGTAGAGGAACATGGCGTGTGTTCTCGGGGGAGGAGGACTCGCAACGAGACTTTGCTGCCCTTAACATAGGCAGCGCAAGTCTCCCCGATCACGGCAACCTGAGGGCGGGTTTCAGCTCGCCGGCCAGAACACTGAGGCCGAGCAGAAGACTCGACACGCCTTCAGAACCAGTCTGCTGGGCCGGACTGCTTCAGAGGGAGTCTTTGCCGGCCATAACAGTACACTTTCCAAGCGAGTCTTCACCGGTTACACCTCTGGAACAGGAGTAACTGAATAGGCCTGTCACAACACATTCAGAACGAGTTTGTTGGCCATAACAGCTTTAGAAAGAGTTCAGACCGGTGACAGCATGGATTCCAAAACGGGTTTTCATCAGTCACAACACCTTCAGGAACAAGATTAGGCTTGTCGCAGCACCTTCAGTGCAAGTCTACGTCGGCCACTACATATTCAGAACGAGTTAAAACCTGTTATGGCGCCTTCAAAACAAGGGCCTCCTGACCAGCAAAGCCTCAAAGCCAGTTTAGGCGGCTTAGAACACATCATCGGTAACAGCAACTTCAGGAGTCATATATTCAGAATGAGTTAAACTTCTTACATTACACTCAGAACGAGTCTCTGCCGCTCGGAACCGTTCACAAATTTAAGCCTTTAGCAATACCAACAGCAAAGAATCTTTGTAATCCCAGAGCGTTATTAAGCCTTCTGTAAAACCTTCAAAAAAGCCATAACAGCTTCAGAAACAGCCTCCGACGGCATTAATGATTGTAGAACGAAACGCCATTGTAAAAACCCTTGATGGTGTTTAATTATGTATATGTCCAACAGATGGTGCTGGTGTCACCTATGCACATGGCAGATCTTGCTTACAAGCAGCAATGTGAGTTTCTCAGATCTCGCGTTTTGCAAAAGTAGATGGCTGTGAATAACAGTGGTAATGCGTTCTCCACATTTAAAAACGCGATTTTAATAAGCCTTTACTTTAGCGACTGCCTTCATTTCAAGACGTGATATCATTTTACAGATTCTTTTTCTCATACAACTGCAGCATGTACCATTCTCTTTGATCTTAAAAGGCAAAAAAGGGCAAGTAATTACTTCCAGAACCGAGGTTTTTGTGCGATGAGGGATAGCACACATACCTGCAAGTGGGTCGGTCCCTCTCGCAACCGGATATCATTACGCGGATCTTGGGCTGAGAAGCGCAGCCAGAATGGGAGGAATGGGTTCATGACCAGTGATAAGCGCTATCAAGTGTACGGCAGAATGTGCTTGAAAAGGACGGGAGTGAGAGGAAGAAAGGGAGAGAAATAAGACAAATCACGATGGGAGTGAAAAGGGAAATAAAATTTAAGAAAAGTAAAATAGGGAAATGAATTATAAAACAATAGAAAAGGAAATAAATGACAAAAGAGTCAAAAGCGGGAAGGCCAATGGAAAGAGAAATTGAGAAAACGAATACAAAATAACGCTCAAAAGAAGGAATACGAAAGAAACAGGATTCATGAAAAAACCGAAGAAGTAGAAACAAGAGTATCACATGACGCGTTGAGAACCGCGCCATCTTTTGCAAGCGTGTTTCTCGAAGCAGGAATTCGAACCTCCTGAACGCCGACTAACAAATCCTATAGTTTATTGTTTGTTTACAAGCTTCCAAATGCCTGTCCCTTTCTAACTGATCTGTAATTATCGTTCCCTTACAAGGCTGTCTCGCTTCCTCTCCTTCGTCTAATGTTACGTTGTGTTGCTTGTGACCGCGACTGTCTTATGCATGCAGAGTCTTCATTATATTTTGTTCTTCTGAGGGAGGGGGAGGGGAGGGAGTGTGGGAGCTGGGAGGGGGGAGGGAAGGGGAGTTGTGGGAGGGGGAGGGGAGTGTGAAAGTTGGGAGGGGGAAGGAGTGAGGGAGTTGGGGAGGGGCTGAAGGGAGGGAGAAGGCGAGTGGAAAAGTTAGAGAGTTTGCGAGGGGAAAGGGGGAGAGAATGAAAGGGAAGAGGAGGAGTTGCATAGAAAAAAAAGAGGAGAGGGAGGAGAGGATATGAGAAAGTAGAGAAAGGAAGGAGAAAGTAAAAGAAAAGGAAGGAAGAACCAAAAATAAACCAAAGAAAGCGAACAAAAGAAAAGAAAGAAAAAAAGAAGAAAATGCATAATAAAAAACACGAAGACAACACAGAAGTTGGAGAACAAAATAAGAGAGAGAGGAAGAAAGAACAACCAAGAAGGGGAAATAAACGCACAAAATAAATAGAAAAACACATTACTGAACAAGAAGGCTGAACAGCGCTGAGTTAATGTTCAAACAATAACATATTTTCCACATACGATATTTCCAGTTGTTGAGTTGACAGCTGCGCGATAATAACCCGTAATAACACATGTCCAGAATACCTATTTCTCTTGTTATAATCCAAGGTCGAGGTGTTAATTAGGACTCTGGGAATTATAAATCACGGCGAATCATTTCTCTTCTGGTTGGATAATACTGATAAAAGAGGAAAAGAGAGAGAGAAACGAAGAGAAATGAGGATGCTGATAATAATAGTACTGGGCGGAGTAAAAATGGTGTGTGTTATTATAGCGATCTCTACAATGGCAATACAAGATTAGTAATATTGGAGTAAATGCATAAATCTAAACAGAACGAGAGAGAGAGAGAGAGAGAGAGAGAGAGAGAGAGAGAGAGAGAGAGAGAGAGAGAGAGAGAGAGAGAGAGAGGGAGGGAGGGAGGGAGGGAGGGAGGGAGGGAGGGAGGGAGGGGAGAGGGAGAGAGAGGAGAGAGAGGAGAGGAGAGAGAGAGAGAGAGAGAGAGAGAGAGAGAGAGAGAGAGAGAGAGAGAGAGAGAGAGAGAGAGAGAGAGAGAGAGAGAGAGAGAGAGAGAGAGAGAGAGAAAGAGAGAGAAAGGGAGAGAAAGGGAGAGAAATAGAGAGAAAGGAAGAGAAGAGACGAGAAGAGAAGAGTAAGAAAAATATGAGAAAGATACAGGAACCATTAAAAGAAGACTATGGAGGGAGAAAAAACAACGCACACAAAACAACATCAACAACAAAAACAGGGAAGCCAAAACAGGGAGATAATAAAACACAAAATCGTTCTTGCGCCGACCCGTTAAAGTGTCTCTGCGGTTGGCGAGCAATAAAACTAGTTAGCCGTGGTTGATTGCCTGCTCATTAATCCATCAAGTTCATTCTGATGTGGTATCATTTATTTAAGAGCCAGTCCTTTTATTCTTCCTCACACTATAATTTAATATGTGAATAGATGCTGCAGGGGTGACTGTTTAAAAAGATAAATATTTTAGGGTGTAACGCTTGTTTACTTGTTTACTGTTTTAGGCAATTAATATCTGATTATCGTTGTCATTGTTCACGTCCTTTGGGGGCAGTTACGTA